CTGCACCAAACTGCGGCCGGCTCACCAAACTGCGGCCGAATCACCAAACAGTGGCCGACTCATCAAAACAGCGGCCGACGCACAAAAACGGCGGCCGACAGTACCGAGTACCGGCCGACAGCGCCAAGTACCGGTCGACAGCGCCAAGTACCGGCCGACAGCACCAAGTACCGGCCGACAGCACCAAGTACCGGCCGACAGCGCCAAGTACCGGCCGACAGCACCAAGTACCGGCCGACAGCACCAAGTACCGGCCGACAGCACCTAAACAACAGGCCACAAATCAGAAATAAAGTCATGTGTCTGTTTAAGTGTCACGGATTCCATAATATTTTCTTTAAGACGAATGTCACCCTTATGTACCCAGGGGTTAAGATCTATTATCCCTCCCCCACCCTTGTGACCATCCCCATGTGAGAAATGACCTTTATGTACCCGAGGGTTAAGATCTATTATCCCTCCCCACCCTCGTATAAATTGCAACTTAAAAGGATAAATCAGAGATAACCCTTATCTAACCCATTCCTAAGAACCATAATGGATTATCCTTGTCAGCAACAGCACCCCTACCGCCCCCTCCCCCTCCACATCCCCCTCACCCCTTGACGTCCCTGCCCCCCCAAGATGCTGCAGACATCAAACTAGCCTTCAAGACACGTACCCCAAGAGCTAGGATTTGCTGCTCTCCCCTCTTTCTTCCCCTCCATCCATATCTCCTCCCTCTCCCTCACGACACAAGACCTGCGTTAAAAGCCATATTTCACCCCTCACCCCCCCCATAAACCTTCTTTTTTAATTCATTCATATAAGCGGAAGTAAGATATAGGTGTCCCCAAGGCTCACAATGAGGCTGGCACAGGTATGTATGCCAATTGTGTACACACTAATCGACCGCTATATTGGTGCCATATATCATACCTTTGTTCTCAGCATCTCCCCAACCCACCCACCAACCCCACCACCCCACCTCATCTCTCAACCCACCCACCTGCCCGCCCGCCTGCCCGCCCGGCCCACCTGCCTGCCTGCTCACTCCACTCCACCTGCACCCACCCACCCACGTCATCGGTGTGTAAGACATCCATGACCTGCAATAAGGTCACTGGGAAAGCTGTTGGTAGTATTGTGTTTTGGGGATAGGGAGTGGGGTGGTTAAGGGGTGTGGTTAAGGGGGTGTTTATGGGGTGTTTTGCAAGGGAGTTTATGGGGTGATTTTGATGAAAGAGTTTTTGTAATTATGTACAAATAAAAAAAACCACTTATCTTAAAATGGTGTGTGTGTGTGTGTGTGTGTGTGTGTGTGTGTGTGTGTGTGTGTGTGTGTGTGTGTGTGTGTGTGTGTGTGTGTGTGTGTGTGTGTGTGTGTGTGTGTGTGTGTGTGTGTGTGTGTGTGTGTGTGTGTGTGTTCGTCTGTCTTCATGGTGTTTTAGACAAGTTTGTTCCTTTCTCACATTGTTCATTAACTTTGAAACTCTCTAAGGTGTTGTGACGGACTGAGGCCATTGTGACGCAGGTGAGGGGGAGCGAGGAGGAAGGTGATGATGATGGTTTGGAGGAGAGAGAGAGAGAGAGAGAGAGAGAGAGAGATAAATAATAACAACAATAACTCTACCCATTATTTCACACAGATAAAATATGACTTATTTTCCCCCCATTACAAATCAACCAATATTTTATTTATTTTTTATTTCCATCGCCTACCTTAATTTTTACTCTATTTCATATTTTTCCCCAGGATGATTGTGGTAAAATATATAGACCTCAACCTTAAGTTTTTTCTCCTTCCTATTTGTTTTGTTTTTCTCCCAGGACGAGTGTGTTAAAAGATCCCAGCGACGTAAGAAAATCCCTTATATATACCCCTCCTCCCTCCTCTCTTTCCACCCCTCTCCCCCCTCTCTTTCCACCCCTCCACGCCCCTCCGCCCGCCCCTCCTTGCCCCTCCGCCCGCCCCTCCCGACCTGAATGAAAATGTGTTTGTATTTCGGAAGCGAGAGCCAAATTATTATTTTCTATATGAGCTGTAAATTATTTTTCACTTTTTCGTTATTTGTTTTTAATATTTGACAGATGATTTATTTTATTTTTTTATTTATGTTATTTGGATGTGGTGGGAAGATGATGATGATGATGATGATGATGATAATAATAATAATAATAATAATAATAATAATAATAATAATAATGGTAGTTAATCAAAGGAAATAATGGTACGTAATGACAGATACTGGAATTAATGGGAAATAGTGATAGTTATAGAGGAAATTATGGTAGGTAGTGGAAATAATGGAAATAATAGTAGTTAGTCAGAGGAAATAATGGGTTTATTTCCCGGAGCGAAGATCACTATCACGCCTGTCACTCAACCCTCTGAGGCCGAGCTGACGTGTGTGTACGTTCTCGATTTAACACACACACACACACACACACACACACACACACACACACACACACACACTACTACTACTACTACTACTACTACTACTTTGCTGTCACTCGGAATCGAGTAAGACGATCATCCAGCTATGATACAAAGATATGGGTTATTAGGGATGTAGGGCCGGATTCAGGAGTGGGCAAAGTGGGCAGCTGCCCAGGGGCCTCCACATGTGCGGTAGTAGCTATATCAGGGCTGGTCGACTTGAAACCCCATGAATGACTCCAGTCATGTCTCACTTTTGTGTGTGTGTGTGTGTGTGTGTGTTGGGAATTTGTACACTATCAATAAATATACAGTTAATTAAAAATTTCTCAATGTTCTAATTTCCTCAGTATAACTGCATATGGCTTCAAAATTCTCCAAAGAAGTGTTCAAATTTAAAATTTTCCCGGGGGCTTACAGCGCCCCCCGGAACTCCCAGATGTTTAGGCTCGCTTCACTCGTCACCCCACCCTCTTGGGTAGTTATAATGAGGGGGCCTCCACAAAGAGGCTGCCCATGGGCCTCCACAGGTCTAAATCCGGCACTGTAGGGATGTCACCTAGGTTGGTGGGTTTTGAGGTGACTAAAGAGGCCGATACGGGACCGACAGCGTCGTCCACATTCGTTTCACATGTGGAGGGCTACATCTACTGTGGGAGTGGCGGTGGCTGCGTCTTTCCGACGTTGGCGCTTGTCTGCCTCGGTTTGCAGTCGGGCTCGCTCGAAAGTATTGACACCTTCCCGTGTGGTGCTCCTCCAAGCGTTACGGTGTGGAGTAATCGACTCGCAGGTGAGGGGGTCCATTTAGCACCTTTTCAGGTTTGTCTTAAGACTATCCTTATACCTTTTCAGTAGTCCGCCAGCGTTATGTTTACTATTCGTTAGGTGACTGTAAAGTAGCTGCTTTGGTAGTCTACTGTCGTGCATGCGGGTAACATGGCCCGTCCAACGTAGTTGTTCATGGAAAATGGTAGCCTCGATGCTCCTACAGTTGGTGTCACACACACACACACACACACACACACACACACACACACACACAGAAAGACAGAAAGACACACACACACACACACACACACAGAAAGAAAGAAAGAAAGAAACTGACAGACAGAGAGAAAGAAAGATACAAACAGACAGAGAGAGAGAGAGAGACAAACGTCATACATCTGTACAGTTCACTTGTATACACACAGTCTATACATCTGCCGTACACTGTATTCCTAATAATGTGTGGAGGGCAGCAGTGTGTGATGGATTGTCCCTTCCTTCCTTCCCCCCCTCCCCTTTTCATTCGTATTTCTTACCCCACTTCCTTCCTTCCCTTATTTTGTCATTCCTTACTTCTCTCCCCCATTCCTTCCTCCCTCCCTCCCTCCCTCCCCTTTTCCTTCATTCTCCCCATTCATTACTTCCTTCCTCTTTCCTTTTCTCCTTCCAGCCCAAACAAGTCTGAAAGGTTAGAGGAGGAACAGGAGGAAGAAGAGGAGGAAGAACAAGAGGAGGAGGAGGAGGAGGAAGAAGAAGAGGATAAGGAGGAGGAGGAGGTATAGGGAACAGCAGAACACAACCTTACTAAGAAACTGCGTTGAAATTAGGAAGACATTGTCAAGTGACCCACTTGACTCCCTCCCTCCCTCCCTCCCCTCCCTACCCTGAAAATCTAAATGTCATGACCAAGTCTCCAATTAGGATCTCTTCTCCCTGATGGATGGGTGAGAGGGAGAATATCTCTCTCTCTCTCTCTCTCTCTCCCTCCTTTCCTCCCTCTCTCCTTCCCTCCTTCCCTCCCTACCCTTCTCAGCATCATATACAGAGATGATCCTGTCCTGGTAGCCTGCAATATTGGCGACTCTCAACATCCCCTCCCTCCCTCCCTCCCTCCCTCCCTCCCTCCCTCTTTTGACCTAGATAGAGGGAGGAGAGGAAAGACTATAGTAAGTGATAAAGGAAGTGAATAGGCACAATATGAGATAAGGATATGAGGAGAATATGGGAGATGAGAGAAGAGAAGATAAGTAGAAAGTGAGAGATGAGATAGAAGAAAAAACGTATAGAGAATATGGGAGATAAGAGACTAGAGAAGTGGATAGAAATGAAGAGATAATGGGATAAATAGAGGAAAGTAGAAGGATGGAGAATAAGCACACAGGGTGATAAAGGAAAATAAACCAGCCACACTAAGCGATAACGAGGAGATACACAAAGGGAGATAACAAGAAGACAGACATAGACACATGGTGATAAAGATAGAAGGGAAAATCAAGACAGGATGAGAAACACGTATTTTTTTCCCTCTGTATTTGAGTAAGAAATGAAGAGGGCGAGAGACGTGGCCCCAGACACTCGACCCCTGGCTACTGTGGCCCTTTCTTTAGTGGCCACCCTTACCCTTTAGTGGCCATTCTATCCCTTTAGTGGCCACCCTTACCCTTTAGTGGCCACTCTATCCCTTTAGTGGCCACCCTTACCCTTTAGTGGCCACCCTATCCCTTACCCTTTCCCCTTAGTGGCGAGCTTACCCCTTCCTTTAGTGGCCACCTTTCTCCTTGCCATTCCCCTTACGTTCACACACACACAC